TGTTTCCTGAATATGATGCAGAATTCCCTGGAACAGTTTTCAGGGAGGTTCTTTAGATCTGCAATCACAGAAACCTGGAAAAAGCTCAAACTGCCAACAGGAGCAAAAACACCTCCGAGCTGATGTTATTTGTGTGAAGTGAGGGTGACAAAATATTTCTACAGACATTTAAACGAGTGGCCACAAACTCAAAGGTCTCCGAGACAAAAACATCACTAATCTGTGTCTGATTATATGCACCTGTATATAAAAGATGGACACGCTTCCTCGTGTTTTCTGGACTCAGTATTTTGCAGCCTGAATGTTGATGTGAGTCATGCTGGTGTTCTGTGCAGGAACGAGCCACAGATATTAGTGCTTAGCTGAAGACAGACGAATAAATGCGACCAAAATGCAGCACACTGCCCCACGCAGTATTTGTCAGATAACGCTGATGGGGGAGGAGTCAGCACACAGCTGTTGGTTACAGGTGCAGCATCAGGCTGTAAACATGCTTTTTAATGCTGTCGAGTTTACGGGGACTGATTTGGATTTGGAGCCTCAAGTGTCACGTGGAGCGACACTCTGGTGTTGGCTCTATTCTGCTTTTTAATTTAAAAAACAAGGTTCAGTTACCTTGATAAAAATTCCTGGGATCACACTTGTGCCCTTTTCTCTAATTAACAAAAGCTGGAACGATAGACTCGATCGCTGCGGGTCAGCTGTAAGTGTGAGGTCGTAAAACCTGCTTCTGATTTTGCACTTTGAACTGAAAAACATGGACACGTTGTTCTGGAGCAACAACGGTGAACAGAGCACATTTCTGTGTCCTGGGATTTAAAAGCCTCCAGATATCAAACGAGTAAATTATCAGACAGATCTGAGGAGAGGACCGTGACGGCATCGGGGCTTCATCTTCATCCATTTTTCATCTGATGACGATGAAGATGCGTGTGTAGATACTGAGTATAGGTTCCACTCCATTTGTAGTTCAACAACCTGCGTTGAAACAGCAAAGTGAAAGGCATTAGCTATGACTCCCGGCTCCGTCTGACATTTAATGTCGTCTGCGTTACGGGAGTGAGAGCATGTTTGTGTACAAAGAGAAGAGAGGAATGAAAGGCTGAGCGAGAGAGAGCAGGTGCTGGAGTGGTTAATGGCCGACAGCATGAATGGCCAGCGCTGGATTTTTCTGATTAAGGGAATGAACTTCTGCTTTGTCTCTGCTGTCAACAATGAACGCCCGCAGCACTCCACACCATCCTCCCAGGCGCCTAAACATTTAATGAATCTATTCCAAACTTCCTTCTCTACACCGGCGGCCAATTTGGAGCCATTGAAGACAACCGAGCCCTCTGGAAATATGGGGACCATCTGTTGTGTGTCTGCACATTCATCTTTATGAAAGATGCGGCCTAATGCTGCACGCCAAGCAGGAAATAGAGACAACGGGAGAAAAGGTAACCTGCCCCTCCTTAATTTTTGCACCTCAGCTCTCTCGCTATTAAACGTGGATTTTCTTCACACCGTTGGAAGGAAACTCATCATCCTCAGTGAAAAATTACAGCTACTATGTTTTCTTCTTCTTGTGCAACAAGCATTGAAATTACTCTAAAAACAGCATTCCACATCCTAACAGCATTATAGAGCTCTTATACTATTAAAAGATAATATCAACAAAAGCCCGCTGAAGTATATGAGTCACTTCATTCAGCCAACTCAAATGTCAAATGAGGAATTTGAATGAGCATAATTGCAGATGCTTATTTCTATTTTGTTCTCAAGGCTTTTTTGAATACGCCGTGTAGTGTGATTTGAAGGCAGATAAAGAAGAAACAGGTAGGACTCGAAGCACTCCTAACACTGGAATCTGTGAAGGCACAGAGGCCACAGATGGATATTAAAACGTAGAGGCAGCCAACAGCGCGCAGTCAGAAACCTATAGGTGATGGCATTGACCAAACTCCTCTCACAAAGAGTGAATAAACGCAGCCATCAGAGGTTCTCTGATCACAAAGATCACAGAAGTCGCTGCTTCAGTGTGGAGCACCCACCATCAGGCCAGGGTGAAGGTTTCATGTGCACGTAGAAACAAAGGTTTCATTACACTCTTTCTACACGTCCGGTCAGTGTAATGGTAGCTAGACTTGCACCGACCGCTCCAGCTGCAATTACAGTTCATCATCTTCAGTATCCTGCCCAAGGACACTTAAAACTGCACACTGGAGGAACGAGGGGCAGCTTGTCCCCATATCAGGTAGTGCAGGGACAACCTGAACCACCTGATGAGCCACAGCTGTCTATAATTCTAAGACAGTTGTTGGCTACTATACAACAACTGGACACATAGTTTGTGTTATTCAGCTGTTGAAAGATTTCAACTTTCACAGATTGTGCCAAAATGTGCCAAAATGTGCCAAAATGTGCCAAATTGTGCCAAATTGTGCCAAATTGCAAAACGCCTGGCTATGACTCTACTAAAACCTCTGTAACTTTGCTCTACTTCATCACATCACCATGAATCTTTGGACAGGTAATATCCACATTTAGATTTATGATTTCCTGGAGTGAAATGTCTACCAGAGCATATTTTCAGAGGTGTTATATGATATAAAACACTTTTAAAATTAGGCGAGGAAAAAAAAAAGTCAAAATTTTCAATGTTTGGGTCAGAATAACTTTGACACAGTAACATCTGCAGTAATATTTACAGTTCTGATGAAATCTCACAAGTGTTAGCTTTATTTTGATACCAAGATTGTATACACAGAGTTTGAAATTCCAGAGAAATACTCCATTTATTCTGAGCATGTCATTTTCGAGTAGGAAGCTCAGAAAAGCCCTTGGGGCTTAAGAGGTTAATTAAGTGGTCAACGATGCAATTTACTTCTCTGGTATTGACGCCGACAATGAGCTGACAGGATTTCACAGATTTCATTTGTTTTATGAGCCCCTGAAATCCTGCGATTGTCTGATTTTTGCACGCTGTGATACATCTGAAATGGAGAGCACCAACTGAAGCCCCTCCTCGTGTCATATACCAAATATATCCTCCCTGTCAGGCAGACTACCTGGGCCTGGTGCTTCAATGTATTCCTCTTCTGTAATAATCAAATTTAAATCAGACTGAACTAATGATTCTATGTTTGGACAAACAGTTTAAATGATCCCAGCAACAGATTTCAAATCAATTCAACTCACAAATATTCATATTTTCAACACCTGCTGTTTGTTGTTTTTCCAGAGAGCGTGTCTGTGTGAAGAAGAGCTCCTGCTGCTGTTTGCTGTGCAGTTCAGTCACTGCTGCTCACATCAGACCAAAACAACTCGTGGCCTCTAATTCAGTCGTTCCACTTCACTGTTCACCCGCTGCGCTGCTGTGTTTGCTGTCAGTTTGTAATTATTTACTGCTGCTTCTCCTTAATTCTGACTTTCAGCTCGGTGCCACTATTTCAGCTCATCATGTTTGATACTTTCTCCTTTTCCTCACGAGTTCTCTTTACATCCTTTTCTCTGTTCTGCTGTTGAACTTGTGGTGTGAACGTAAAGCAACAAATTCCAAACCAACTCAAACACAGTATCGGGGGATTGTAGCTCCGTACCTGATGGCTTGAACCCCGTCAGCTGAACCACCTGTTAACAAAAACACGACACATTCATAATTAGTCAGCAGATGTAACAGAAAACATTATGTATTGATAACGCATGCACATGACTTACTTGGTTTCCGGATCCTGGGTTCAAAAAGAAACTCACAAAGCTCTCCTTTCTGAAACTCTCTGCAAGCACAAAATGCACCTGATTGTATTTAAACGTTTGTCTTTGAGGACACACACAGTTGCTTATGCAAGGCCAAAGTAGTCTTATAAGCACATCACAGTACAAAGGAAGCTTTATAAAACACAGAGAGAATGAAAGATGCAAACAATTTGAATGACAAAAGAGCATTATGAGGATTTTACTGGAGAACTTTTTTCTTTTGTTTCTGCTTCTGTTTATTAACAATGAAGCGTTTAATCACTGCTTATGTCAGCAGGACAGATGGGATCAGCTCATCTATGCAAAGAGCCGAGTCTGAAGCTATTATAACGTACCATTCATTCAATCATCATGCCCAGGGGTCGCAACCTTTCTGATGATGAGCGCCCAGAAGTCAATGTGCCATATGATTGCATTAGCAATAAATGTAATAACGCTCTATATTAACAGTTAAACACTATATAGAACCACTTTATACATTATATTTGTTCACAGATGTTGGCAGCTATCAGTGAATAGTTATCAGCTATTTGGAAACAAAAAAGACTTTTTATCCATAACAGCAAATGAACTGAACAACAGAAAATACAAATGCTATTTATGGTCTCCTCACAACAATGATAAGAAAAATAAACTGGACCAATATGGCATGTTTGTTAATACAGAGACACACATGTTAATGTGATCTCTGGTCTCCCACTCAGAGACACAGGTCTCCCAGTGTCCAGCGTTCAGACCTGAAGACTCATGTGAGAGAAGCCAAACACTGTCAATAAGGCCTCTGCAATGTTCTGAAGACAGTTAAACCTGTCAGGTAGTGACGTCCAGCAGGTGAACATGCAGCTCCATGAACACGCACAGCTGTGGATTCCAGCTGCTTCGTAGTTCTGCAAACTTTGACCCCACAGAGTCGAGCTTTTCAGTTCAATCAGCTGCATTTCGATGTCCTCTGTGTCCAACCAGTTAATGCGAGACAAATCCAGCTGCTCATTAAAGCTTTCTGGTTTGAATCTGGTTGAATCTGGTAGTTGGGGTTGTTAGCTAACATACTGTCATTAAGAAGCAGCACAACGAATGTGTCTATGCGAGCTAATTTGCGATGTGCAAAGTGATAAACAAACAAGAGAGTAAAGCCGATCAGCTGATCATTGATCAGTTTCATGATTGAAGTAGCAACAGGAGAGGGAGGGGGGAAGGACCACAAGAGCCACGCACATCGAAATTCTGTGCTTAAACAATGAATCTGCATTTGTAAATTCATTTTTGAATTCCAATTTAATAAACTTCATTTCAAAGCCATTTTCGAATTGCACTTTAATATTAAGTGATTTTCAAAATGCTTTTTAAAATGGGGATT